TGAGGGAGTGAGTGAGTGAGTGAGTGAGTGAGGGAGTGCACTTGTACTCCAGCGTTATGTTGTCGTGCATTGTTGCAGCCACTTTGCTCATCAGCCTGGTGGGGCGGCCGGACAACATGCAGATCTTTGTGCCTGACTCGAAGAGTCCAGGGGTCAAGACTTGCCATGGTTGCGTTGCCTGGAACAGGTGAAGACGCTGACAGGCAAGACCATCACCTTGGACGTGGAGGCTTCAGACACCATCGACAACGTCAAGGAGAGTTCAGAGTATTGTGCGGCTGGGCGTGTTCTGAGCGTGTTTTTGTGCACCTGACGAGGCCAAGATCCAGGACAAGGACCTGCGCTTGTGCCTTTGTGCGGATTCATTCTGTCTTTTTGCTTGACTTTGAATCGAAGAGACTGGAACTCGAATTTTTCCAGATTGGCAGCGAGCGATTCATGACCATTTTGTGTCTGATGATTTCCTAGTGTAGTGGAGACTGAAGGTGTGCTGACACTATTTTTTCCGATGACTGCTTTGTGGCGCAGTGTTTCACTTCGGGGATTGTCAATTTAGGATTTTGTGTTCCTAGGCGACAAGTTCAATTTTTGCTTGTGGACAAGGAGGGCATTCCGCCTGACCAGCAGCGCTTGATCTTCGCGGGAAAGCAGCTGGAGGACAGTGATGCAATGTGATGCAGCCGCTGCAGACCATCGCTCCATCGGCTGCAAGCGCTAGGATGGCCGCACCTTGAGTGACTACAATATCCAGAAGGCGCGTCAAAACAAAATGGCGCGCGTCACTTCATTTTTGACGTAATGTTGAGGAATCCACCCTCCACTTGGTGCTTCGTTTGCGTGGTGGCGACCGGAGCCTAGTTTCTAGCGCGCAAGTCATGCGCAGGGTTGGGGAGTCCGGGCAGTCAAAATAGGGGGCGAACAAAACGCAAAGGTCATCGAGCCCTCGCTGGCAGTGCTGGCCCGCAAGTTCAACTGCGAGAAGATGGTGGGGCGTAGAGAAGTTTTTGGTTTGCCTTTGCGCGGTCTTATCCTCAATGCCGTGCCTCAAACTGGAAGTGGTGCCGGCAGATTTGTCGCAAGTGCTATGCGCGGCTGCACGCCAGGCCAGAAATTGGTTGAGGGACTTGAGGGTGATTAGCGCATAGTAGTGCTGTTGGTGGTTTTACATTGGCGGCCGCCTCGCAGGGCGGTCAACTGCCGGAAGAAGAAGCCTTGCACTGAGCACGCGGGTGCAACCAGGACCAAAAACGGAAACCAGATGGTGGCTTGAACATGGACTCAGGTGCGGACACTCCAACCAGCTCCGCCCCAAGAAGAAGCTGTGGCTTGCCAGAATGGAGAATCCGATCTTCACTTTATGTCAGCTAGATGCAACTCAGGAAGTAAGCCAAATGAGCCGCGCGTATCTGGTACGGAGAAAAAACACGCCAAGCGAAGCTTCTTGAGATGCTATGACTTGAAATGCGATGCCTCAAATTGAGTAGATAGTGGAACATGTGGAACTAGGTTTCGAAGGTTCCAAGTTTACTGTCGGAAGGTACTTCCGCAATGAGAAAATATGAGAAGACATGCAATGTACGCATCTCTTTGTCGTGTGCCGGCCCATCAGCAGTTGAGCATATGTGACATATTATATGTATTACATTGTGTGTTTGTTTTTCCCACACGGGGTCGCCGGCGTGCCAAGTTGCCATGGCCTTGGCCCCGTTTGGTCGCATGGTCAGATTCACTTACTACGCGGCTTGCAGTGATCGGCTTTCTTGCGCCGAGAGGATGCTGATCCGAATCGTATCCCATTTCGGCTCAGAACTGTAGATGCACAGAGCCGAGGATTCTCGCATCTCGCATGCTTGCAACCATTTTACTTGATGCAATCTAACTCTTTGTGAAGGGTTGGTTTGCCCGATCCTTGATTCACCCTGTCTAGCAAGTGCTTGCAGGACTGCTATGGGCTGCACGTCCTCCAGTGGCGCAACTGCTGACGGGTCTGGATCAGTTCTGAGATCAACGTATCGCTTTTGTCTCGATAGGTCTGAAGTTCCGAGAGCGAAGTATGCGGCTGAAACTCCGGGCACGCCCAAGGTGCGGTCCCGAGTGCTTCGAACACGGATGAGCAGAGAGAGCCGTGTCCAAGGCCAGCCCATCCTGCCCGTCTAGCCACGGCCTCCAGACTTTGAGATCGAGTGAAATGAGAAGCACAAACTCTCAAAAAGAAAGAAACAAGGTGGAACAAGATGGGGCAAGATGGAACACGAGGCGCAGAATTCGCGATTCGTCTCTGAGGACCACTGCCAACCTCAGGAGTGGTTCAGGTGGGGTAGGCGCATTGAGGGCGAAGCTGAGCCGCTAAGCCAGGAGAGCGATGGCACTGAAGTCACGGCGCGTCCGGTGCGCCGGTTGCGGGACTTGTGCCGTTTTGCGAAACCCGTTTGCGAGATCCGTTTGCGAGATCGATATCGAGATACCGTGTCATCGTGTCAGATGGGGCTCCTGCAAGACGCCGATGGCGACGAGGCCCACGAGTTCTGGGAGGAGGACCCAAGGAGCCTCAGCCAAGGACCAGCGAAGGAAAACCCACAGCTTTCGCGAAGGCAACTCGGTCCGCGAAAGCTCCGCAGGCGCTTGGGGCAAGCGCGCTAACAGAGCGGGTGATGCGAGTATACATTTGCTCATCTTGCCAGTCTCGATGAGCTGCGCGAAAGGCGTGGGTCCAGGATCCAAGTGGCCTCTTTTGCACATAGCGGTTGAGCTGACTGCCAAGTGCACTTGTGCCACGCTTCCGGAATGCGATCTACCTGGAGAGCGTAGATCGGAGTAAATCGGAGTAAATTGAGTAAATTGGCTGCATTTACGCCGCGACACAGCCGGCCACCGGGCATCCTTCCCTTCGTTTTCTTCCCATTTCTGTTTTCCCTTCATTCCTTCATTCCCTGTTCCCGAGATGTCTCACTTCCGTATTTTATGTCCTGCTTCGGTTGCCATTCCTGCCCTTTCCCTTCGCCCTGCATGTCACTTCAGAAGCGCCGAAAACACAGGTTTCGGGCCGAAAAGCCCTACGTCCCTTTGGATCCTACGTAGAAGAAATAGCGGCATCAGCACCAAAGCTGCTTGTAAGCGAGCCGCAAGGCCTTGAAAAACGGCACGCTAAAAGGGCCCAAGCACGAGCAGGTTTCGAGCCAGAAAGTGCTCCAAGTAGTAGCCCGACGGGTGTCTGTCTAACGTCACGTTCTGCTCCTAGATATGCAAAGGAAATCGGATATAGCAGCAACATCACCGGCATCACCAGCAAAGTCGCGCAGGCCGAAAAAAGAGACGCACCAAAAGGGCCCAAACACGGGCAGGCTTCGAACCGAAAAAGGAGGTGCTCCAAATAGTACCTCAGAAAATGCTCCAAATAGTAGCCCCACGGGTGTCTAACGTCGCTTTTTAGATCCTACAGAGAAAGGACATCGGATCCAGGCGTGCTTGTTTGCGAGCCTGTCTACAAGAGCTTGGATGCGCTCACCCTTCCCATGCGCCTCACTCTTGCAGACAAGTCGGCGGATTCTTGCTCAATACTGTGAGTGCACTTGGTGCATTATTCTTGTGCTGAGCTGCTGAGAGGTTGCCCTTTCAAGGGGCCGCCGCGAAAGCGCTGCAAAGGGTTGACGCAAAAGCCGCCGCGAAAGGAAACCACACGCGCGAAAGCTCCGCAGAGGAGCGCTAGGGTAACCAAATCTCGATCGTTGTTGTTGAGCGCTGCTCACGTGCTATGTGTTCCGCATTCCACATTCGATGCCTAAGGACGGGTCAAATGCATCGAATCTTTGCCAAGGCTGGTGTTCTTACGCCTGCCCCTGGTTCAATTTCAGCAACGGCAGGATCTTTTGCAGGTGCGCTGAAGGAGATCTCTGTGACGTTTAGTGAGGAGTTGTTGAAGACGGAGCAAGCTCCAGACCACTTTCAAAGCAAAGCTTGAAAGTTGTTTCACGACCGCGAGTGCACCACTCAGTCAACGTAAATGTGCGCTTGCCAGATGGAAGTGTGTTGAAGTGTGTTGCAATCCCGCGCCTATATCAAACGTACTACGCCAGCAGCCGACCAACGTCTTGAGTTTGTTGCAGCTTGTTCAAGCAGACGGAGCAAGGATTCACTGTCTGCTGACAAGAGCGTGCCCTACAAGGTGCTTCTACGTGATTTTAGGTCCTGCGTTTTTCGGGGTCAACGCGTTGTTCTTTGTGAGCTGCGCAATGTTTGTGACACTTCTCGGCCCATTGTCACACGGCCTGCTAACTGGCACTCTGCCAACACGCTTGCCTACCATTGCCGCTGAATGTTGCCAAGGCATCCAACCGCCGTGTGCGATCCCCAATACATTTGCACCTCAGTTTGCACACATCGTGTGGAGACAAGACAACTCAAACCTGTCCAAATCACCAAGCAAAGATGTTGATATTTTTTCTCAACGGCTTCCCCCCTAATGGCAGGCCACCGTTGTCCAACTCAAGTAGTTCAATTAATTTAAATAATTTGAAAAACCTAATTATTTTCAATCATTCAAATGGGCTGAATTATGTAAATTTGCAGACCCCCCTTTTCCAATTTAAGTAATTTATTAATGTAAACAATTCAAACAATTTGAATCCTACACAAGGTACGGCTGACCCCATTTAAATAACTTAGATATGAACATAAATTGAATATTTTGATTACTTTAAATAATTTAAATTGGCAAACCCCCTTTTTCCGAAAGCGTTGCGAAGGGTTCTTCCGGGGTAAAATCGCCAGCCTTATCACACAGCTAAACTTGCACGAGCCGACTTACACGAGCCAAATTGAACGAGCCAACTTGCACAGCCAACTTGCACGAGCCAACTTGCGCGAGCCAACTTGCCCGAGCCAACTTGCACAGCCAACTTACACGAGCCAACTTGCCCGAGCCAACTTGCACGAGCCAACTTGCCCGAGCCAACTTACACGAGCCAACTTACACGAGCCAACTTGCACGAGCCAACTTGCACAGCCAACTTACACGAGCCAACTTGCACAGCCAACTTGCACGAGCCAACTTGCACGAGCCAACTTGCCCGAGCCAACTTGCACAGCCAACTTACACGAGCCAACTTGCCCGAGCCAACTTGCACGCGCCAACTTGCCCGAGCCAACTTACACGAGCCAACTTACACGAGCCAACTTGCACGAGCCAACTTGCACAGCCAACTTACACGAGCCAACTTGCACGAGCCAACTTGTTCGAGCCAACTTACACGAGCCAACTTACACGAGCCAGCTTGCACGAGCCAACTTGCACTAGCCAACTTGCCCGAGCCAACTTGCATGAGTCAACTCGCACGAGCCAACTTACACGAGCCAACTTGCACGAGAACAACTTGCACGAGATATCACAGCCAAACTTGGACACGACAGTAATTAGTTAGTCTCTGAAGGCGGCGCGGTGGGACCAAACCCACCCTGCGAAAATGACACCCTCTGCGGGGATTGGCGTGGTCGATGCGCAAAGACTGAGGACTTTTTACGATTTCTGATCTGCGCGCGCAACCCTCTTACGTCGATGTGCAAAAACTGAGGACTTTTTACGATTTCGACCCTCTGCGGGGATTGGCGTGGTCGATGTGCAGAAACGGTCTTTTTACGATTTCTGATCTGCGCGCGACCTTCTGCGAGGATTGGCGTGGTGGATCGCGCGAAACGCAAAATGCTACTTTTTCAAGTCGGAACGCGGGCTTGAGAGTTGGTCTCGTGGTTACGCGCCTGCTCTTGGCAGTGACCGGCCCCGGGCTCGAATCCTGCTTGGTCTCCGCGGCCTTTAAGTTAGAAAGTCAGCAGCACAAAAGTGGCTCACAAAGGGTGCATTCGTAGCTCCGGCTCAAATCGAAAGGTTGCCATGTTGCTGTCAGCGCTGCGCGCAGAGAACTTGCTCGGAGAACTTGCTCATAGAAACTTGTCCCGAGCTTGCGCAGCATACTTTTGCGTTGCGCTTGCGCGTCGCAACTTGCTTAGAGCCCTTGCGCCCGCAGAGCAACTTGCGCTGAGTGAACATTTTTACAGTGTGTGAATCCCATGCACTGACCGCGCGACAGGCGCCTTGCTCAGGGAAAAGGATTTGAGCCCGTAGGGGTTTTCCTTAGTTTGGTAGCGGAGCTCTGCTCCTGCGCCGCAGCCATGGCGGACTTCGATCCGGGCACACGCTTTCACCTCTTTCACCTCGACAAGCTGAACGTCGAGCTGCACGGAACGCCTCTGAGGCGACGCTCTCACTTGAAGAAGATCTTTGGCTTGATCGCCCTCATCCTGACCTTGACCTTCGGCATGGCAGCTGGACCACCCGCCTCAGGGATCCCACTCTTGGAGTACAGGCGGGATGTGCCGCCAGGATGGGCGCCGAACCTGCCAGAATATCCCCTTCAAGTTGTTCTTCGAACGCCTTCGCATGTGGTACAGGCGATATGATGGAGCCGATTGATGAAACCGTAGGACCTCTGGTGGCTGGAAGGCTCCCAGGCATTTCTGAGCTCTTGGTGGATCCCATGAAAAAAACTACAAGATTGGGGATGCCGCGCTGGTGAGACTCTCAGTCGACGAGCTGCGGGATCCGAACAATCCCATGATGGTCATCCAGCACGCGATCCCGTCACGGCTTCAGGCGCTTTGCAGAGGATCTTTGAGTTCCGCCGCGCCTCTCGCTGCAGGATGGATTCCCCCACCTCCGTCCATCCCATGAGCTCAAGGTCAACCCAGCGACTCATATCATGAAAATCACCATTCAAGTGCAAAGGCTCTAGTCCTGATTGACAGACAAATCTGTCATCATGCCTTTTGGGAGGCAAGTAAATGGTAATCACCAGGACCTGCGATCCACCCAAGTGCAGAAAAGTGGATAGCAATCTCGTCGTATTCCTGACATCTTGCGGAAAGGAAAACCTATCAGGACGCACATAACAAGATGACACCACCGCAGTGCCGCCATAGGTCAGCGCATGCGCCAGATTCTTTGTATATCGTGTGCAGGGCTGGCATTCCATACTGGCAATATAGCCCAAGCCACGCTGCCTGAAAAACCGGCCATCACAAACGATCTCAACACTTGAAGTTTCGGTGAAAGCCCTCTTTAAGATCCTTTGCCCCCTTTCCCCGTTGAGATCCTTTCCCCCCTTCCCTTTAAGGCCTTTCCAGATCTTCTCCCTTTTCCTTCCTAAGATTGTTTCCCCTTCCCACCCTTTCCCGCCTAAGGCCTTTCCCCCCCTGAGAGCTTCTCCCTTTTCCTTCCTTAGATCTTTCCCCCCTTTCCCTGTTGGCCTTTTTTCCCCCAGATCTTCTCCCTTTCCTCCCTAAGATCTTTTCCACCCCTTTCCCTGTTGAGATCATTTCTCCCCTTTCCCCCCCAAAGGCCTTTGTCCCCAGATCTTCTCCCTTTCCTCCCTAAGATCTTTCCCCCCCCCTTTCCCTGCTGAGATCCTTTTCCCCCTTTCCCCCCTAAAGCCTTTCCCCCCCCCTGCCACCCTTTCCCTGTTGGGCTTTCCCCCCTAAGTCCTTTTCTCCCAGATCTTCCCCCTTTCCTCCCTAAGATCTTCCCCCCCCTTTCCTCCCTAAGATCTTTCTGTTCAGATCTTTTTTCCCCTTTCCCTCCCAAGGCCTTCCCCCCCCTGAGAGCTTCTCCCTTTTCCTTCCTAGATCTTCTGCCTTTCCTCCCCAAGATCTTTCCCCCCCCCGTTCCCTGTTGAGATCATTTATTTCCCCCCTTTTCCTTCTAAGGCCTTTTCCCACCCTCAGTTCTTCTCCCTTTTCCTCCCAAAGATCTTTCCACCCCTTTCCTCCCTAAGTCCTTTTCCCTTGAGATCTTCTCCCTTTTCCTCCCCTAAGATCTTTTGCCACCCTTCCCTGCTGAGAGCCTTTACCTACCAAAGGGATTCCCAAAATATATTTTTCCAAAATCCCAAAATATAAAATCCCCATAATTTCAAAACATAAATCTTACAATGTTTTTATTGTAAGGTTTATGTGTTAATTTATAGTTTAAGTTCAGGATAATAATTTAATTGATGACTATTAAATTGTGTATATATCTTACCTCTTTCATGCATCATTTTCAAAAATATATTAATATCTCTAACTGAGTTTTTGACATTAACCTTTTTTCTTTCAATATATGTTTTAATGTCTTCTTTTACATCAAACCCTTCCCTTTTATGATAAGTCAACATCCATAATATACCTGCAATCATTTCATATTTACACGCTGACGCGACACAGCCGGCCACCGGGCACCTTGCCCTGCCCGTTCTGTCACTTCCCTTTCCTGTAAGTCCGATTAGTAGATGTTAAGATTTTAAAATTCTAAAAACTTTGAGATTCTAAGGGTCTCAGATTTGAAAACTTTCGGAATTTAAGGTTTCAATGGTTTAAGAATGAAGGTTTTAAGATTCAAAGATTTAAGGTTTTGAAGGTTATAACAGCCAGGCCATTGCCCAGCCATTTTCCATCCATTATCAGATTTCGAAGGCTTTAAGATTTTATTTTTCGGAGATTTTCAGATTTGGCGACTTTCGGAATTTAAGATTTTAAGATCTTAAGATGTCAAGACTTCAAAGTTTCAAGATTAAGAGTTTAAGGAATTGAAAATATAGCCCGGATTGAAGGAATTTTATTATATTTTACTTGTTTATGAATTTAAGATTTTCAGATTGCAACAGTTCGAGATTTAAAGAATTTAAGTTTGAAGCTTTTAAGATTCTGAGATTTTAAGATTTTGAGAATTTAGGAATTTCATATTTTAAGACTTTAACATCTGAAGATTCAAAGACATGAGGGTTTTAAGAAGTCAAGACTCGAAGACTTTAGGATGTTTATATTTTCAGGTTGTAAGACTCTAACTTCTAAGGTTGTAATTTTAAGATCTTAAGGTTTCAAGGTTTCAAAATTTCAAGATTAAGAGTTTAAGGAAGTTAAAATATAGCCCGGATTGAAGGAATGTAATATTTTTATAATTTAAGATTTTCAGATTTTAATTGTTCGAGGTTTAAAGAATTTAAGTTTTTAAAGCTTTTTAA